TTATTTACTGCTATGCCTTTTCAAAAAGAAAAAAAAAATAGTCCCAAATGCTATTAGCCTCATACACTGCAGGTATTGAGAATTCTGTCTTTTACAGCTGATGAAATAACTATTCAGTTAGATAGGATGTGAGCTCGTATTCCCAGCATCTTCGCAGGCTAAGGTGGGAGGGACCATGAGTCCAGGAGAAAGGAAAGAAAAAGAAAGAAATGAACGGGAAGAGAAAAGAGGGAACTTCTGACTAAATACCCAAGCTAAGTAGGCAAAGAAAAACTTCTAAATACATTTTAGAGTTATTCCAACATTTTATAAAGTCTTATGACAACATTTCTCTGTGTTGATAGGAAAGTGACCTTATTTTAGCAAAGCATGTGTATTCTACTTAGAAAAAATTACAAAGAAATTTTGTAGTGCTCCTGCCATTGAAGACTTTTTACATTCTGGAAGAAACGTGCCCCATACTTTTGCAGTATTTATGATACAGAAATGAAAGACAAAAAGATTCTTGCTGTGCACCAGGCAATCTGCACAGTATTCTACTGAATCATGGTGCAACTCCGTGAAAAACAAAGCAATACTCTGTTCTCAAAGTACTCTTTTCTTCTCCAGAAGAAAGACTGTGCCCTCAAAGTGTGGGTTGTAGTTGTTAAAATATACCACAGCCTACTGTCTGGATTAGAATTCAACCAGGTTTGTCTGACTAAATTTGATATTAAAGAACCAAACATTGACCCTAGAGGAATCTGGAGGCAGTTGGGTAAGAATATTATGTAGGACACATGTAAATTTCCCGTAGGAAATGTAGAAGTTTCTCCCAAAGACTTGAACTCTGGGTGGCCCTTGGGCAGTAGTGTAGGTTAAGCATTAAACAGGCTCCTCTGCCCAAGATAGTCAAGACCAGGGAAGCTGTGGCAGAGGAAATCCAGGAAGTTTGTTTTGATATCATAAAGCTCACTAAAAATTCAGCCAACCTAGGTTTGTTTGTTTGCAGTGCTGGTTTTCAAAGCCAGGGCCATATGCATTTCAGGCAAGCACTATACATCGAACTAGTCTCCTAGCTCAATGTCTTGATTCTTCAATGGATTAGAAAGCTATCACCTTCATTTGACACATCAAAAAAAGTAATGAGCTATTTGTTCTTAAATAATCTTTTTTATATAATTACCTGATCATACTTTAATCATTTATTGATAACTGAGTATACATATTTAGGAAATTACTATGAAAAAGAATAATGTCTTTCAAAACTCTTCACAGAATCATTTGTGCAATTGGAAATCAGACATGAACATTTTTTTCAATTTATTCACTTTTTGTTATTGTGTTTGTGTGTCTATGATGTGGGGGGAGCACCAGTGCCATGGCCTGTGTTTGGAGGTCAGAGGACAACTTTGTGGAGTTGGTTCTCTCCTTCTGTCTTTATGTGGATTGCAGGGATGGAAGTGAGGTCACCACGTTTGCATAGGAAGCACCTTTACCCACTGAGCCATCTGGTCTTCCTAGAACAAGCAATTTATATATACAGAAAACAACAGTTCAAGAAACTTAAAAGTTCATCTAATATGTGTGGAACATGTGTAGAAAGTTACCTTATTTCTGTGGCTCCTTCAGCAAAGTCATGACAGAGTATCTCTGTGTACAGTGGTGGTGGCACACAGCCTGTGGTTGTCAACATGACACAGCTATGCCGAGATTTTAGTTGCTGTACATGGATAGCTTGTATGCCCCCTTGGTGAATGAAAGACTAAAGTTAGTCTATTCCAAGTTTTTAGTGGCCACATTGGCATTTTATTTTAATTTGATGTATTCGTTTTCATTAATTCATGAAAATGTCACAGTGCAACCTGTTATTTTCTTCAATTGGCATGCTCTAACTTTTAAAAATAGAAAAAAGAGGGACTCAACAAATCATTTATTTTATATTTGTACAAAGCAGCATGTTGAAAGATGTACGTACGTACTTTTCAGGATTCTCTTTTGGTTGAGCACAGGGACTTGCCTATGTTGCCCCATCACTTAAGCTACCTTCCCACCCTTGGGTTTTGAGACAAGGTCTCACTCTACAGATCAAACTGGCCTCAACATCTGCTCTCCTTGCCTCTGCCTCCCATGGTCTTGGATAACAGGTTTGCACCACCATGCCTGACTCTCACAATGTTTTTTTGATTCCAGATTGCAATACAAAGGAAAATATGTCCAGCGCCTTGAATTGTTGACTCTACATTAAGAGTTGAAATGTGGACTTTAATGTGCTTTCTTTAATCTCTAATTAGGCTATTTATCAAAGATGATTAGAGTTTAAACATACAAGTCCCTTTAGCTTCAAAATCATGTGAAAATAATGTGTAGTAGATATTGCTAAGTATCTTCTGTTATTCTTATATGCCTTTATTATTATAATAGAGTTATTGGGTTGGGTAAGAAGATCTGCTTTTATATTTTATTGCTTTGGTATGGCTCTATCTTCCTTCACATTGGATTAAAGTGGACCCCTAGGGTTAAAAACATGACAGCTTGCCCAGCCACTGAAACAACAGCTGTGTTGGTGCACATCAAAAGGAATTGTGGGGCACGGTGGTGCACGCCTTTAATCCCAGCACTCAGGAGGCAGAGGCTGGTGGAGCTCTGTGAGTTCAAGGCTCTGAACTCTGTGAGTTCAGCCTGGTCTACATAGTGAGTTCCAGGACAGCTGGGGCTACAGGGAGACCCTGTTTCAAAAAGAACAAAAAAAAAAAAAGAATTAAACCATGAACTAGTGAGACTCACTTCAATCCACTTACTGTGATGTAAGGGCTTACGTGGTTTTAGTTTCTGTATCTCGGTATGATGTTAAAACATTATAAAACAGTGGTTGGCTTACTTAAAGACTTTTAAGATTTTCAGTTCCAAAACTTTCAAAAGACATTTACTCTGCATGTACTGATCACTACAGGCACTATGCTAAGTATCTTGTTAATAGGTGAATCTGTTTGCCAAAAATCACAGGACTAACTTTATTCTGAATCACAAATAGAATATAGACCCTGGGAATAGCAGTCTCCTGTGTTTTAGTTTCATAAATCTTCTATTTGAGTCTTCTAAATTAGTTCAGCAATTCCTTCTGTCAATCTCAATTTCTGTCTTTGTAATTTAGGAGGAGACAGACAAACAAAAAGTACCCTTCATAAAAGTGGTGTGTATTGAGGTGCTTTTGTTATCTTCCTTTAAAGAAATTGTATATGGTTCTTGAATTGTTTCCGGAAGCAAATCCTTTTTATGTTAGGCAGCCCTGAGTCATTCTTATAAAACAATATATTCATAGTAGAGCCTTTTCAAAGGAAAATCGTGGAACATGTACCCTTGTTCTTTAATGTTGCTAATGATTGGCCTGTAAGCTTGTGTAAATAATCTAAAGTACAAAAAGGGAAAGGAAAGAAAAAAAAATCTTGTCGCCAATCAAATGCTCCCTGTTAAATTCTTACATCCATGGCAGAGACTACCAGCCTGACACTCTGTCGGGATGATTAGTGGCAGTACAGACCTTCCAGCAAACACAGTCTTGAAACTGTAAAACATTAACCAGCCCAAGCTGCACTATTGTGTTTTAAGGAGTGAGGCACATTAACAATTCCCACGGGATCATGGGTTTCATTTGGTCAACATTGCCAATTTTTTTATGTTTATAGAGCTGATTAACTTACCCTGCTCCATTTTGTCTTGTGATTTCTACAAATGGCTATGAGTGTGACCCAGCAGGAAAGGATTATGAATAGACAATTTCATTTACTAGTTAGTAGAGTCTTTTTATCTCGTGTACATCTTTCATTGTGTGGGAAGCACTCTGAAGCTTGTATAGGTATAGTATGAATATTTTCCTTTACTGTCCTATAGTTTAATTAATCACTTAACCCATTAAATTGTTAATTTATGAAGTCATAACTAATGTTTTAGAGTCTTACAGAACAGATTGAATATAATGAGATTTACTTGAAATAACAGTACCTTTGGAAATTTTTTTAATCTTTTCTTAATATTTTATTTATTACTTTTATGTGTATGAGTATATTGCCTGCATGTAAATGAATTTCTGTCATCCAATGCCTGTGAAGGTCAGAAGAGGGCATCGGATCCCGTGGAACTGGAGTTATGGATGGTTGTTAGCCACCAGTTGGGTGCTGGGAACCAAACCTGGGTCATCTGAAAGAGCAGCCAATTCTAACCAGTGAGCCATCTCTCCAGCCCAAATATATTATGTACAGAGGAGAGGAGTTGGGGGAGATGTGAAATATTTATCTAATTTTCTAGAATGCTTACTTATTAAAATAAGGTGAAAGTCACTGTCATATTTAATTTAACAGAATTCCCATGTGATTTTTAAGCAATTTGTGTTTGTGCCAGACATTTTTATTTTTAGATAAAAATTATAGCAAATAATGTCAAGGTTAAAGGTCAATGATACAGTACCTTCATAGCATGTGAGAGGCCCTGGGTTTGAGTCCCAGCATGGAAAAACATTATAGCAAATCGAGTGGTGCATAGCAATATCCTCTTACAACACAGATCATAAACCAGTCCCTTATGTCCCAGAGAGCATGATTTCAGAGTTTAATATGTTTAACAATTCCATTTGTGTTTGTCTTTCCAACTTTATGTTTGTACCCTTATTTGAGAGAATTATTTTCAACTAATTATCAGCATTTATGTCCTGAAACATTCTATGTAACTGTGAAATTAGTATTTCCATTCCTCAGGTTACTGTGTAAGATGCCAAAAAGTTATTCATAATCTAAAAGTTTTGGTTGGTTATGTAAAATCCTATTTGTCTGCATAATAGTGTGAACTTAACCAAGCTGAATTATATTTTTATCATATCAGTGACATTCATGCATTTAAAATGATGTCTGGGTGGAATCCATTAGAGTTAATAAATAAATTCCATGTTAGTTATTTAGATCATATGTTGCTTGAAATAGTATAACTATGCATCTATTTCACATCCATCTTTTTTTTTGCATTTTCAGCTAAAATTGACCAAGAATCACAAGAGACTGCCCTGACAGAGACTCATAAATGGTGAGAAATTACTTCCCTTTAATATAATATTTCTTCTAACAACAGCCTTATAAAGTTCTTAGTTCAGCCCCAGGAACCAGTTATTAGTTTAATTTTTGCTTTCAAGCATGCAATAGGACTATAATGTAATAGTGTATTGATTGGAGTGTTTCAATAACTTCTGAATTATATTTTGTAAGTCACTATGATGACTAATTCTGTTATAAAACTGAGTAGTTACAACAAGCTTCTCACCTCTTCCCAGTAGGGAGTAAAGGCATACAAGACTATGAGGATCATGGGAAACTGGGATTTGTTTTGTTTGTATTTGTTTTTATTAGCAAACTAAACAATGAGTTTTATTATAAATGCGTAATCATGGTAATCACCGCTTACATTTGCCCCTTACTACCCTCCCCACCCGTAATTTTCCCTCTGTCTTGTCTTCTCCCTCCCTCCAAATAGCTTCCCTTCTGAGTACATACTGTGTGTGTATGTGTGTGTGTGTGTGTGTGTGTATACATTTAAATGAAGATTTCTGCATATAAGAAAAAACATATCCATTCATTAGCCCTCCTGTCCAATCTTTATTTGCACTTCTTTGTCCCACCTCAAAAAGTGATATCTAGCATCTCCAATATCATTTCCTACCCACATTGTATAAGAGAGCAGACAGCCTCATTTATTCTTTTCCCACATCCTCACCAGCATTTGTTGTTATTTATTTTCTTGATAGCCATTGTGACTGAGGTGAGAAGGAATTTTAATCAGTTTTCATTTGGATTTCCGTAATGACTAGGGGCATTGAACAGTTCTATCTATTTATTGACCATTTGTGTTTCTTTTCTGAGAAGTATCTGTTCGGTTAGTTTGTCTAACTGTTGTCTAGATGACTTGGGCTTTGTTGTTTAAATTTTGTTGGTTTGGGACTGGATGGATGGTTAAGAGCACTGGGTGCTCTTATAGAGGGCTTGGTTGGATTCCCAGCACCCACATGGTGGCTAACAACTGTCCATAACCCAATTCCAAGGGATCTGACACTCTCTTCTGACCTCTGCAGGCTTTGCATAACATAAGTGCACTTACATATATGCAGGCAAAACATTTGTAATCATAAAATTAAAAAATAATAATACAAATAAATTTTGTTTTTTTATGCATTCTAGATATTAATCCTCTGCCAGATGTAGAATTATCAAAGATTTTCTCCCATTCTGTGGGTTGACTGCTCACTCTGCTTCCATTACTGTACAGAAGCCTTTTAATTTCATGTGTATATTCCAACTGTCAATTCTCAGGATTTTTCTGTGTTGTCGAAGTCTTTTTTCAGAAAGTCTTTATCTAAACTTATACCTTAAAGAATTTCTCTATGTTTTCCTCTGCATTACAGTTTAAAATCTAACGTGATCTTTGATCCATTTTAATGGACCTTTGTGTAGGTGGATAAATACGAATCCATTTTCATTAATCTCCAGTATACGCATCCTGTTTTTCTAGCACCATTTGTTAAGAGGCCTGTGTTGGATAGCTTTAGCTGTCAAATTGATACACCTGAGTAGAGGGAATCTCAATTTTGGATTTTCCTCCACTAGATTGACCTGTGGCCACATCTGTAGGGTATTTTCTTGATTGATGAATGATATTGGAGTTTCCAGCCCACAGTGGGCAGTGGTCTTGTAGTGTGTAAGAAATCAGACTGGACAGAGACTTGGGAGCAAGCCAGTAAGCAGGGTACGTCCATGGTCTGTGCTCTAGCTTCCTGCCCTGATTTCCTAACTTAACTTCCCTCAGAGATGAACTGTGACCTGGGAGATGTAAGATAAAATAAACCCTTTCCTACTCTAGCTGGTTTTAGTCAGTGCTTTTATCACAGCAATGGAAAGTAACTAGGACAAGGCCCTTTTCTCAAAAGGGCCTTTTGGATACTTTTATATATTAGGTGTGTGTAGCCATGTGGTCTAATGTGTATTCTCTTTTTTCACTCCATTCTTCTAGCTGAGTCAAGCACTGTATTGAATATGAGTGGAGAGTGTTGACACCTTACCTTATTTCTTATTTTGTAAGCAATGTTTTCAGTTTTTCTCCACAGAGGATAATTTGGCTCTAGACTGAGTATATGTACCCTTCATCATGTTGAGGTATGACTTCTATGCCTGTTTTCTCCAGGGCTTTTATCCCGAAGAAGTGTTGAACTTTGTTAAAGGTCTTTTTAGATCTATGGAGATGACTGTTCAGTTCTGACCTTTATTCTATTTGTTTGCTTTGTAATATTTAATGACTTGAGAATATTGAACTATCCTTGTATGCCTGTAATGATGCTAATTTAGTTATGATATATGGTCTTTCTTAATATTTTAAATTCTGTTTTTCATGCCAAAAAATGTACTTACCAGTTGTATGATTTTTTTTATTTATTTTAATTAAAAGAAGCATTTCATTACAACAGCATTAACCTATTCAATAACATTTTTCTGAGCTAGGGTACATCTCTTTCAAAATTGGCTATACATTTCTAGGTTTACAGATGAATTATTATGCTGTATGATTATTTTAATAGGTGTATTTTTGTTCTATAAGACAGTGGGATTTGTAATGACATTTTTCTTCAGGCACATCCTGTACTATAGCCATATATAATCCCTATTACCTTTTCCTGCCCCCTTCCTCATTCCCCTCCACCCCTTCACCTCTTAAGTACTCCCCTTTTTATTTTTATGATACAGACACACACACATTAAAAGAGAAAGAGGTGTGTGTGTGTGTGTGTGTGTGTGTGTGTGTGTGTGTGTATACCTCACAGGAAAGAAAAGTGAAACTTCTCTGTGTCTGACTTACTTTACTTAATATGGGCTTCTATGTGTTTTATTGACAATTTTGCATCTTTGTTCATCGGGGAACTTGGCTTGTTTTGTGTTTCTATCTTGGCATCAGGATATTATGACTTTCATAGGATGAGATTAATAGCGATTCTTCCCTTTCTATTTTATGGACTAATTCAAGGAGCACTGGTATAGCTCTTCTTTAGAAGTTTGCTAGAAGTTAGCAATGAACCTAACTGGTCCTGGGTTTTCATTGTTGGGAGACTATTGCTGTTTAACATGCATTGCTTGTTATGGATCTGTATGCATTATTTATGTCCTCCTGATTTAAATTTGATATGTCACTTATGTCTAGAAATTTGTCCATTTCTTCTAAATTTTCCAGTTTCTTGGAAGATATTTTCAAAGTGTTCCCTACTGATCTTTTGATTTTCTTGGAATCTGCTCTAATGACCCACTATTTAGTTCTTTCTTAATTTAGATCTTTTCTGTCTTCATTAGCTCAGCTAAAGGTTTTTCAAAGAAACAACTCTTTGAATGATTCTATTTGTTATCCTTCTTTTAAATTTCTATTTATTATTTTTATTTTATTTGCATGAATTTTATTGCATGCATATATGTAAGTGCACCTGTGTCATGCAATGCCCACAGAGTCAGAGCCCCTGGAACTGAAGTTGCAAATGATTGTTAGCTGCCATATGGGTGCTGGGATTTGAACCCAGGACTTCTGCAAGAATAGCAAGTTCTCTTAACTGTTGAGTCATCTCTCCAACCCCCACGCCCCATTTCTTTTTCTTTTACCCTCTATTACTTCTGCCCTGATTATTATTCTTCACATCTAATGCATTTGGGGTTGTCTCATTCTTGTTTTTATAACTTTCAAGTACATCACTAAGTTCTTTATTTGAGATTACTCTGATTATTTAAATTAATTACTCCTAGCTGTAACTTGGCTCTTAAATATGCCTTCATTGTATTCAAAAAATTTCACATTTTGCTTTTTTTTTTTTTTTTTTTTTTTTTTTTTTTTAAGAAAAAAAAAAAAAACCCTAGCTGTCCTGGAACTCACTTATGTAAACCAGGCTGGCCTTGAACTCACAGATATCCACCTGCCTCTGCCTCCCAAGTGCTGAGACTACAGGTGTGTGCCACCACACCCAGCCTTCATTTTTATTTAATTATATGAATTTAAATTTTTCTCCTTGATTTTTTTTTCGATAATTTAGTAGTTATTCAAGAGTGTATTGTTCCATCTCCATATATTTGCATACTTTTGTGGTTTTGCTTATTACTGATTTTTAGCTTTATTCTACTTTGATTTGATAAGATACAGGGTATTATTTAAAAGTCATGTGTGGGTAGTACATGCCTGTAGTCCCAGAACATGGACGGCTGAGTCAGGTGGATCACCAGAAGTTCAAGGCCAGCTGGACTGTACAATAAGGTCCCCATCTCATAAGACACTTTTTTTTGTTGTAAAACTTTCTTTATGGTCTAAAATGTGATCATTTCAGATAATACTTTATCCATCTGTTTATTGGTATGGTCTTTGAAGTCATAGATCATTTTAGCATTAAATATTTTAATGAATTTTATCCATTTCAGTATCTTTGAATTCAGTTATTGAGGAGGTATATTTTTTTATTTTTTAAAATACATTTCTATTGAATTTTGTGGATTTCATACAATACACCTTAATCATATTTTAACCTCCTTTCTTTATCTGCACTCCCCATAGCCTGTCCACTGGACTTTCTGCATTTTTTCATATATGTTAAGGCCTATGTCCCTTGGTGTGTGTGTTCATTCGCTGGGGACTATTCAGCCTGTCTAGAGTCATTCCCTTGAAGAAGATCAATTCTCCCTCACTCAGAACCCATTAGTGATCAGCTCTTATTAGTTCCTCGCCAAAGTTGTAGCCTCCTGCCCATTTCCCCATTTCAATGTCTGTTTTTGTCTGATTGAATTGAGTCTTATGTATGGTGTCACCATTGATATAAGTTCATTTGAGAAAAGTCCCAAGAGGCTGTAAGACTCCATTTCCTCATGGTCATGCACCTCCTCCCAAGGCTCTTCCAATTTTTCTGCCCCCTCCTCTGCAATGATTCCTAAGCCCTGGGTGAGTGAAGTTTAATATAGGCATCTTGTCCAGTGGCACACATTCTGCAGTCTCCTTTTCTCTACACTTTGGTCAGTTGTAAC